TCAGATATCATCTATACTTGTCCCATCTATGTCTCGTCCACACTGTGCCTCGACCCCACTGTGCTACCGTTTTTTTTTTTTGACTTAAAATTGCCATAAATTTTTTATATAGATGCATTATATCGTTACTTTTCTTTTGATATACTTTTTTTATAAATCTGATCCTTTACCTGCCCACGGGGGGGATTTAAAATGATAACTTTTTCCCCTTAAATTTTTAAAATGTCCCGGAAAGTCTGTCACTTTTATCTATATCTTAAATTAAAGCTAATGTAATGGACTTTATTTTGTCTTCACGGGGAAAATGGCAACCAAATGCTATTTTTGTGTGAAAATTCTCGATTTTGTATTCTACATTTTTAACTTTATAATGCTATAACTTTTTGAAAATGTATGGATTGTCGTACGTCGGTAGTACCCCAACGTAGACAAAAAGGTTTATTAAAGTTTTATGTATATATATATTGACGATGAGTTCGCCGTTCGAGCTCTTCCCGAGTCCTCCCGTTGGATAAACTGATCAGCCCCAATCTCTCTAATTAGTGGACCACTAAAGGGGTAGAGTTTAGACCCGTCAGCACGGTCTAGCTCAAAAGTAGCAGATTGAAGGGTGGCTCCTGNCTCAAAAGTAGCAGACTGAAGGGTGGCTCCTTGTCAGCCACCAGCACAACTACCTTTTTACTATACCCACTAAAGGACGGTTAAGCCCAAACACTAGCCAGCTCGTACACTAATTATTAAGATTGACTAAAGGACCAGCAGTCCATCCTAGACTCTAGCCGCACACACACACACACACACACACACACACACAATTTCGAGATCACCGTGAAAATAAAATATTTGCGCTAAGTCCAGATTTTTAAATAGCTATTTTATTTACGAAAAGTATTAAACACAAAAGTCAAATATAATATAATAATTTAACACAAAAATTAATCAAATCTTACAAAAAGTATATAGTTATTCTTACATCAACGACCTAACCCACAACTCGACGTTTCTTCGACAAAAACGTCCAGTCTCGTCTCGCTCAGTATCGTCCCGTGTCGTCCTCCTATACTCTTCATGTTTCCCTTTTATATTCTTTTTTCCACCATTATTAATTTGCTTACCCTGCATTTCCCTTTTATATGGAATTATTTTATTGCTTAGGAGTTCAAAAATTGCTTACTACTATTGTAAAGCTTATATTATACTAAAATCGATGTAATTCAATACTTCCTCATATATTTACTACAGGATCAACACAATTTTTTTATGAGAAATAATATTTTTTAATAATCTCTTTTTCATTCGACATACTTTATCATAATTAGGATATTAATAAAGAACTAGCAGATCATGTAGCTTTTGGAGTAATCAACCAATTTTTTAAAATTAAACACTGTCTAAAGATTTGCATCAAAGCGTTTTTTTTTTATAGTGATTTTAATCACTTTAAGATATCATTATACTTGATCCAACTATGCCACGTCACCACTGTGCCGCGACCCCCCTGTGCTGGGTTTTTTTTGTACTTAAAACTGCCATAACTTATTGAAATGTTAAGAAATCAAAATAGTATATTTTTTTATTGAAACCTTACGTGTTTTTCTTTTATTTGATAGAATTATTTTTTAAATTTAATCCTTTAATCGTCCACAGGAGAGTAAGTAAAATAGTAATAAAAATAGCCATTTTTTCACAATAGTCAATTTTTTCAACTTAAATTTTGAAAATGTTCCGAAAATATTACGTTATTTAAACACATGTCAAATTAAAGTTTATGTTACATACTATAAATTAAAAAACCTTGATTATGTAACTTTTGGAATTATCCACCAATTTTTTAAAAATAAACTCAAATTTTGAACTTGTAAGATTCATAGAATGGGATACTGTCTAAGGAGGAGTGAAGCTTTTCATGGGAAACAAATTATGGAAAATGATACAAGGGCCCAAAATTTTTAGCCCCTCCAATAAACATTTTCTGGCTGCGTGCCTGGCTCCGATACTGAAAAATATAAGCCTTATAATTATTCAGGAACATAAGTTAGAAGGTAACCAGTCAGTCAATTTCCTCTTTGAAATATTTGTACACTTCAATTTTTTTTTATTACTCAGTATATCAATTGAAAAATTCTATAATACATCCCAAGATTCTTCTTATTTAATACCAACTGTTCAAATATACACGTATGATATTTTTTATCTTATTCTTATATTTTAGTTATTGGTGACATAAGTATTACACTTGGTATATATACTCATTATTTTAAACTTATAATTATATTACGTGTTTATTTTCTTACTTTAAAGTCAATTGCTCTCAGACATTTACCAAAAGAAGTACATTTAATACAATTCAAATTAGTAATATTTTAATATATTTTGATAAAATGAATTCATTAATCGTTTTAATAATTCTTTTTGGTCATTACTATTCTTCTAAATCCTCGCCAGGAATAGACGAAGACCAACAAAACGAACGCGAACAACACGCACAGTTTCCGGTAATTATTATTTTCTACAAAAATTATACGATTTAAGGAGAAAGAATAGTTTTTTAGAAAAATGTTTGGTATACTTACAATGTATATGTACATAAAATTTGTCTAACATAATTTAATAATATTTTTTTTACACATTAGCCTCTAATAGAAAGTAAAAAAAAAACTCCTGAAAAGTAGATTAATAAAATAGACAAATTTTAAAAAGTTTTGACTTAGAAATTTGATTTTATATAACTTTTTGATCAATGTATGAACCTTAACAATATTTGTAAAAATACCTTAGACATATATTTTTTTGTATACTCTTTTTTGAAAATTCAACCGTTGCCCTTGTGTAGTGACTCAAAAAGAGCACCACTTGTAATAACTCTAAAATATAGAATAATATAAATTAAATAAGACCGTTCTAAAACCTTTTACTTTTTATTAATTAAATTTGTTTTNTAAAACCCTTTACTTTTTATTAATTAAATTTGTTTTTATTTTATATTAATAGAAAATTTTCAATACAAAAATTATTTCGTTAAGGTATTTAAAGTTTAGTAATTTCTAAAAAAAAAAACATTCAAATACTTTAATTTTGTGAATATTTCTTTATAATAGACCCTTAGTAAAATTTAACTAAGCCTGTTGTTTGGCGCCACTTGAAGTGAATCAAAAATAANCTTTAATTTTGTGAATATTTCTTTATACTAGATTCTTAGTAACATTTAACTAAGCTTGTTGTTGGGCGCCACTTCAAGTGACTCAAAAATAACTTTGTAATAACTTAAGAGGAGAGAATTAAATAAATAAATATGACAGGGTGGATGTTTTTTTGAGCTACTATTTTATTGTATTAATAATAGTATTATTCGGGGTATGAGTACAAGGGTCTGTAAGAAAGTTAAAAGATGATAGAAAAATAAAGTGATCTTTATTCTGTTAATATGAGATTTATTGTGATTAATTGTCGGTTCATTAATATCAATAATTCCACCAGTTTTGACGGTTATCGATGATAGTTGGGATTGAGTCACTTCGTGTGTCCAACCAGAATGGTATGGTGGCTATACATATGAACCTACAACCTAATTCCTGAAATAGAAATATAAAAGTATAATATAGNACTGAAATAGAAACATATCAAAGATATAAATCTGCCAAGTAACTCTGTACAAACATTATCGATTTATTAAATTTACTTGGTATATTTCTTATTATTGATGATCACTTGATTTTCCTGAATGCCTACTTAATCTATGTACTCATAAAGTTTAATTCTAAACCTTATATATTTTTGGTGAAATTATTAGATTCCTACCTTGATATTTTCTTTGACACTTTTAATTAATATATTTAATTACAAATATAATTGTAGAGACGGTGGATCACTTCTGGCATATATTTCGTTATGAAGGTGTGGAATAATTGAGCGTAGTGAGTGCCTCTGTGAATATTTGACCGCATCTGAGCAAGTGAGAGCATTCTGACCACCATCAGAGTGACATCTGATTCAGAATGCTCATTATTTTTGGCTTTTTGTATTTGATTTGATAGTTGATTCAAAGGCAAGAAGTGATCAACAAAGCTACCATTATTTCTTTATTAATCGTAATTTATTACATGTTAGTTACTACATTATCGTCATTAATGATGTACATTTTATAATATTCTACCATTTGTTCTATAAAATCGTACACGTTATTTTGATTATTTTCAGTTTCTTTTATTTTAATTAATTTATGCTTTTTTCTACGAAATTTCATTAGTATATTTAAACATTTCGATAGTACATATATACATATATCTTATTTTTATTGATTTACATTTAATTTTGTGTAATTCATTAATTGATGTCATAGATAATACATTATGACATTGATGATATACTTTGTATAACATGACACTTGTATGAAAAAAGATTTGAAAATAGCAACATTTGAATTTATAATGATTTCTCGACTACATTATTAATTATGTTTCAAACATTTTATGACCTTAAATCTTTTAGTAAAATAAAGTTCTTATTGTACTATTAATCAATAATATTTAAATGAATTTTTTTTTATACAATTTTTTTCAGCATATAAATAACGGCGAAGCCGCAGAATGCACAAGATTAATGGGAAATAATGACCCTCCCTTGACAGATAAAGAAGAATTTATAAGGCTGTTTAGTTTACATCCATCGGTTAATGATGAAATAAAATACAAGGTTATAAGAAAAATTAATAATTATCCAAGTAAATATATCAATTTTTATGTCTTTAATCACAGTAAATTACATTTGTTATTAAAACTCGTTATTATAACTTGTACTTATTTCAAAACTGGAGTTTCATGAAGTGTTTGTAACTATATATAGTGATTGATATTGGTTGAGACACTCTTTTACCAAAAACTATTGAACATTTTTCATTTTAGTTATTTTTTTATTTTTCTTTTAGAAACATTACGAAAAATATTGTTCTTTTTCATCAGTCTTATTGACCGTTCATCTGTTACTGCATTTTAATGTTATAACCACCCACGCAACACATTCGGTCTATTTATTAAAATGTTCAACTTTTGGAACATTTAAATAAGGCTATGTAAAAAAAAAAAGAGNTAAAATTAATACCATTATATAAAATATTAATTTAATAGATTTTATTTTTAGATGGCATGGTATTTTATGATACAACATTGATGGAATGTTTAAATCTACAAAACAGTCCTCCTAATTGTCGCGAACTATGGTGTCCGTGTTTATAAATAGATATATATAATTATACTAATTATAATTATAATTATAATTAAACTAAATATAAAATATTGTAATAATAAAAAATGTGAATTTAAGTTTTGTATAAAATAAATTTTTATTTTTAAATAAACAAATTTACTATTATTATCTTTAGTCATTTTTTTATTGGACACGCGTTATTAAGGTATTGTAGTTGGCAATTACTTTTTGTCATTACACGCTTATTAGACGATTTCATTATTTTGGTGTCTACCAGCTTGCTATGATTATTGTTTTTCTGTATTGGTGTGCCTTATTTTGCCGTTGAGCAGACTAGGATCAATGTTTATGTCCATAGCGTTATGGTGTTTACTTATCGCGCAGTCCTAACTAGTTTCGGAATGAATTATACTCTATGAATGTGTTAAAGGATTGTTTTGTTGCTTAAAGTGCTTAAGATTAATTCTGCAATGAGTCTGAAACGTCAGAACTCAACTAT